CGGGGCTGCGTCAGACCCAGCGTGGTGCTGCTTACACTCCCTGCACCTACCAGGTTCTGACAGGCCCTCGTCGTGGCCACCCTTGTGGCCGGTTTCACCCCCCTGGTCAGTGCTTTGCTCAGCTCACTGACACGGTTCGTTTGGTCTACGGGGTTGGTGCTCCTGCCCCTGACTGGCTGCCTCTTGTTCAGCGCTACGGCTCCGCTCTGTGGGGCATGTCTGCTGAGCAGTTAGTTGATCTGATTGGTACTCCCCATGCTATGTATGCTGTTGTTGACTCTAGTGTTTCTGACTCTGCTTACTCTGGTGTTGTTAGCTTAGGTGCTAGCCTTGCTCAGTTGCCTGTTGCTAGTGTAGGTTCTTGTGTAGACTCTAGTCCAGCGGCTACCTCAGAGGACGGTTCGCTGTCGTTCACGCTGGACTCTGGAGCCTCTCACTGCTTCTTTCGTGACAGCACGACACTTACGCCTCTTCCTGCGCCTGTTTCTGTGGCGCTGGCTGATCCCACTTCGGGACCAGTCACCGCGCGTCACACTACCACCTTGCCGTGTCCGGCTGCTCCTTCTGGGTCTCTCACTGGGTTTCACGTCCCCTCGTTCTCCCGGAACTTGGTGGGCGTGCGACCCCTCGTGAGTCAGCACGTGGGTGTGTGGTTTGAGCCTTCTGGAGAGACTGCGGTGTGTGTTGACGGGGACTCTTACCAGCCCCTCGCCACTTTTGCTGCTGAGCCGGGCTCCGGTCTCTACACTCTTCACACTGGCCCGCGCGCTCAGCAGCGACTGCAGCAGCAGCAGCAGCCGCAGCAGCAGCAGCAGCAGCAGCCGTAGCAGCAGCAGCAGCAGCAGCAGCAGCCGCAGCAGCAGCAGCAGCAGCAGCAGCAGCCGCAGCCGCAGCCACAGCGGCCGCCGTCGCAGCAGCCACTCCTCCCAGTTCCTGTCCCTCCCCCTAGTCTCCTCCCTGCGTCTCACCAGGTGGTTCCGTCCCCTCAGGTTGTCGCGTCCAGTCCAGTCGCTGCGTCTTGCTCCTGTCGGTCGCTTGCCCACCCCACCGTTCTGTGGCACCACCGGATGGGACACCCTTCTCTTCCACGTCTGCGTGCTATGTCTAGTCAGCGTCTGGTCTTAGGTCTCCCGCGTGTCTTGCCGTCGCTGCCGCCGTCCCTTGCACCACCGTGCGGTCCTTGCGTCGAGGGTAGGCTGCGTGCCACCCCTCACTCCTCCTCCCTTCGTCCGGCCACCGAGCCTTTTGAGACGCTGCACTTGGACGTCTGGGGCCCCTCTCCTCGCCCTGGCCCTGAGCGTGAGCGTTTCTTTTTGGTGGTCGTTGACGACTACTCCCGCTACACCACAGTGTTCCCCCTGGCGAGGAAGTCTGAGGTGACTTCTACGCTGATCAGGTGGTTGCTTACCACCCAGGACACTCGTGGTCGTCGTGTCAGCTGTCTCCACTCCGACCGCGGGGGCGAGTTTCGCTCCGGCATTCTCGCTGGATTCTGTCGCGAACAGGGCATTCGTCAGTCCTGGACGCTTCCGGAGTCCCCACAGCAGAATGGGGTTGCTGAGCGTCGCATAGGCCTGGTCATGGAGATTGCCCGCACCTCCTTGACTCACGCCCGTGCCCCCCATTTCCTGTGGCCATACGCAGTCAGGTACGCCGCGCACCAGCTGAACCTCTGGCCACGCGTCTCTCGGCCGGAGGCTTCACCGACCAGTCTTTGGACAGGGTCCCCTGGTGTCGCGTCGAGGTTTCGTGTCTGGGGGTGCTTGGCTCTTGTCCGCGACACCTCCGCGGACAAGCTCTCGCCTCGCGCCGTTCCTTGTGTCTTCCTTGGTTTCCCTGAGGACTCCTCTGACTTCACCTTTTACCACCCTCCCTCTCACCGGTTCTTTGACTCCCGTGACGTCCGTTTCGAGGAGTCCACCCCGTACTACGTCAGGTACCCCAGTCGAGGTCTCCCGGTTCCTCCTCCCCCCCTCTTCCTGACAGCCGCTCCCCCGCCTGCTCCCCCGGTACAGCCTCCCCCCCCTGGTCCAGCCCCGTCTGGTGTGTCTCAGGCTAGCCCTCCCCCTTCGGTAGCCCCCCCTGTACAGCCTCCCTCCCCACAGTCTTCCTCACCGCCTCCTGTAGGTGCTCCCTCTCGGGAGGTTGGTCCTGCGACTGTCCCTGTACAGGTCTCTGGTTCTGGGGGTGCTGGAGTTGGAGCTGAGCCGCGGGTTGCAGAGGACTCTTCTCTTCCGGGGGCTGGTACTGGTCGTGCGGAGTCTGGGGGTGCTGCGTCTGGGGGTGAGGGTGTTCCTTCGGTTTCTGGAGAGCCTGGGTCTGGAGCTGGTGTTGGTGCTGCCTCTGGGGGTGGTGTGCTTGGTGCTTCGGAGGTCGACTCTGGGGCTGCCGCTGCCCCGGACACTACTCCTTCCCCCCACCCCTACCCGACCAGGTTCCAGGCTCGTGTTCGCCGTGCTCGTGAGGAGCAGCTGGAGTTGGAGAGAGAGGAGAGAGAGTTGCAGCGGCTCGAGGAGCAGGAGCGACAGCAGCAGGGGCAGCAGCCGCTGGAGCAGCAGCAGCCGCAGCAGCCGCAGCAGCAGCAGTTGCCGTCTCCTCCTCCTGTCTCGGGTCTTCGGACCCTTGGTCTCCCCTCTCCCTCTCCTTCCTCCTCCCCCTCTCCTCCCGTCTCTGGTCCTCCGCTTCCTCCTCCTGACCCCTCTCCCGCTGTTTTCCCTCGTTCTCAGTCTTCGTTGTCCCCTCCTCCTTCTCAGACTTGGGCCTCTCGTCGCTCCCCTCGTGCTCGTCCCTCGTCTCCTGTTCCCTTCACTGACCTTCGTACTGCCTTACTTCGTTCTAGTCCACCTCGTCCGTCTCCGTCTGTGCTTCCGTCTCCTCCTGAGTCGGCTCTCACTGCGTCGCTCCCTACTCCTGTCACTGACTACTACCGCACGTACCGTCCTCTTCTCTCTCGTGTTCTCGCCTCGCTTGTTACTCACCCTCGTGCCTCTGTGTCCTCTGTGTCCGCTCTTACTGCCGCAGTCACTGAGTTTGCCTCTACCCGCCGCCTTGACTTCGCCACCGCGCTTGTGGCTGCTCCTCCTTCCAGTCCTCTGGCCGTCGGGGGTGTGTCTGCCCTTGGCTGTGACGCCCTAGAGGACAGGCAGTTTGAGCTAGAGTTCCTGGCGGCCGCTTCCCCTCATCTCTGTGCCATGCTCCTCGCCCCTGAGGGTGACCCCGACGCCCTTGACATTCCGACTCCTCGCACTTACGCTGAGGCAGTGTCAGGGCCTTGGGCCTCTCAGTGGAGAGCTGCCATGGACGCAGAGATGGCCTCCTACAGATCCACAGGCACCTACGTCGATGAGGTTCCCCCTCCGGGGGCGAACGTAGTCGACGGCATGTGGATCTACAGGGTGAAGCGGCCACCGGGATCTCCTCCGGTCTTCAAGGCACGCTACGTGGCTAGAGGTTTCAGTCAGCGCGAGGGAGTTGACTTCTTTCAGACCTTCGCGCCCACCCCGAAGATGACCACTCTTCGGGTGTTACTACACGTAGCAGCACAGAGAGACTACGAGTTACACTCTCTCGACTTCTCTACTGCTTTCCTTCAGGGCAGTCTTCACGAGGAGGTCTGGTTGCGTCGTCCCTCTGCCTTCACTGGCTCTTTCCCTCCTGGGACCCAGTGGAGGCTGAGGCGACCGGTTTACGGTCTTCGTCAGGCTCCTCGTGAGTGGCACGACACCCTGCGTTCTACCCTGTCTGACCTTGGGTTCCAGCCGTCTTCTGCTGACCCGTCGCTGTTCGTTCGTCGTGGCCCCACACCTTTCTTTGTTCTGGTCTACGTTGACGACCTTGTTTTCGCCACCCCTGACAGGGTTGCTTTGGCACACGTGAAGTCCGAACTGCAGAAGAGACACACCTGCACTGATCTTGGTGAGCTGCGCCACTACCTTGGCCTGCAGATCACCAGGGACAGAGCTGCTCGCACCATTACACTTTCACAGTCGCACATGGTGCAGCAGGTCCTTCAGCGGTTCGGGCTTCAGCACTCCACAGTACAGCGCACACCTCTTGCTGTTGACCACAGACTCACTGGACCCTTTCCTGACGAGCCGTTTGAGCCTAGTGGTCCCTACGCTGAGCTTGTGGGTTGCCTCATGTACCTGATGACTTGTACTCGCCCGGACCTCGCCTTCCCTCTCAGCGTTCTTGCGCGCTTTGTTGCGCCAGGGAGACACCGTCCTGTTCACTGGACAGCAGCTGTGAGGGTGGCGAAGTACCTAGCGACTACATCAGGCGTGGGGCTAGTTCTTGGAGGGCAGCAGTCTGTCGTACTCACTGGTCACTGTGACTCCTCTTACGCTGACGACGCTGAGACTCACAGGTCTACTCAGGGGTACTGTTTCAGCCTGGGTTCTGGAGCTGTTTCCTGGCGTTCCACGCGCTCCTCTTCTGTCTCGACCTCTACAACTGAGGCTGAGATCTACGCTGGTGCCATGGCGGCACAGGAGTTGCGTTGGTTGACCTTCTTGCTCGCCGACCTTGGTGAGCAGCCGAGCTCTGCACCGACCTTGTTCACTGACAACAAGGCGTCTATTCTCGTTTGTGGAGAGTCACGACTGGAGAGCAGAGTGAAGCACATTCACGTCAGGTACTTTCTTCTGCGAGAGTTGCAGAGGCGTGGACAGGCTCGCTTTGAGTTTGTGGAGTCCGAGGCCAACACTGCAGACATCTTCACCAAGGCGCTTCCGCCTTGTGACCACCAGAGGTGCTGTGTGCAGTTAGGCCTTGTTGACACTGGTTCTCGTGTTGCTTAGACTTGAGTGTACTGTTTACTTTGCTTTCTATATACCTCTGTTACTTCTTGGACTGGCCTTGTGGCCACTGTTGTTTGTGCTCAGACTGTGTGGTGACGTTGTGTGTTTCTGACAATAACACCCCTATGGAGATGGCACCTCCTGCTACAACCTACACGCATGGTTCCGGCTTAACAGCCTAGGCATGCTTCCGGCTACAGCTCATGCTACAGCCAGATACGGCATCACGAGATCTGTCTTTTTCTTTTTGGGAGGCGACTCAGGCTGCTGCCCCTCCTCCCCCCCCTGACTCCTCTTCCCACTGCTCCCACCCCCCACCACCACTCCAGCCTGCTCCACGCACGTCGTCACACGGTTACCGGCCTTCTGGTTACCACATGCATCCTCGTTATAAGCAGCAGCGTGCACGCCCAGAGCAGCACGGCCAGATGGGTCCATGTTGCCTTGCCAGGCAGCATCCCATGCTACAGCCGCTGCCGTGCTACAGGCGACGCTGGGGCCTCCAGGGACAGTGAGGCGAGCGGACAGCTGTAGGGGAGAAGGGGGGATGCGGGGCAGAGGGAGGGAGTTTAGGCAGCATCCCATGCTACAGCCGCCGCCGTGCTACAGGCGACACTGGGACCTCCAGGGACAGTGAGACCAGCGGACAGCTGAAGCAGAGAAGGGGGAAGTGGGGAAGAGGGAGGGAGTTCAGGCAGCCTCCCATGCTTACAGTGGCCGCCGTGCTACAGGCGACACTGGGACCTCCAGGGACAGTGAGACGAGTGGACAGCTGTAGCAGAGAGAGGGTGGGTTGGAAGAAGACGGGGGAGGAATATGTGATTTAGAGCTTTTCCACAACGAAGCACCCCATGCTACAGCCGCTGCCATGATTAGATGAACAGGTGTGATGAGGTGTGATGAGGCCTGAAATCCCTCACATATGTGCAACAAGTGCTTCTCGAAGATGCAGCAGTAAAAGAGCCTTTTTTTTGTGTTGGACGCATTGTGCGTGAAGAGGTGTGAAGAGGAGTGAAAAGGTTTGAATAGGAGTCAAAAGGTGTGGAGAGCCTCACCTGGGGGAAATGCCTTTCGAAGATGAGGCGGTAGAACAGGGCCTCCTTGGTCTTGGGAGTGTTGTGCGTGAAGAGGTTGGGAGCGTTGGCCATCATTTGATCCGACACCATCCTTTCGGCATGTGCCTTGAGACCGTCGATCCAGCTGTACCCCACGCCATCAGAGAATTGTTCCTTCTGCCTGTAGAGGATATGCTGGTAAAGGGGACAGGAACAGTGGGGAGAGGAGAGCAGGGGAGCAGAGGAGCAGAGGTTGGGAGCGTTGGCCATCATTTGTTCCGACACCATCCTCTCGGCATGTGCCTTGAGACCATCGATCCAGCGGTACCCCACGCCGTCGCTAAATTGTTCCTTTTGGCGGTAGAGGATGTGCTGTTAAGGGGGCCCGATTGGTGCAGTGGGAAGAAAAGGGAACCGGATGAGAAGGTGGGAGAAGAAGAAATAAAGGGGAGAAGGTGTTGAAAACAAGCAGGCAGAAAGAAGAGACTCGGATCAAACTAGTGGAAGGGCACAACATGGGAAAATCTGGCTCCTGTTTTCCCAGGGCTGGCAAAAAAAATGCCTACTGATTTCTATTTTTTCGGTCAGAATCAAAGGCCCGTCATATGACCCACATCCTCTAGTTACCTTGGGGAGGTACGGCTTCTCCTCATCGTCAAAGGCCCGTCGGATAACCCACTTCTCAATGCGGGTAAGGGAAGAGACTAAGCAAGTGCTTTGTGATAAGAATAAGCGAGTACTTGGAGACATGGAACAACCTACCTTGGGGAGGTACGGCTTCTCCTCGTCGTCAAAGGCCCGTCGGATAACCCACTTCTCAATGCGGCCGTCCTCTTTGCGAATCATCTTATACTGAGGATCAATGCTCATTGCCACGTCAAGGAATTCCTTATCAAGAAAGGGAACACGCGCCTCCAGCCCCCATGCTGACGTGGCCTTGTTGGCCCTCAGGCAATCGTACATGTGGAGCGCCTTGAGCTGATTGGAGGGATGGGGTTGGGTTGAGAGCGGTGAAGGGACGGAGAGTCTTTAAGTGGTTGTAGTGAGCAAATGAACAGACAAGGGATAAGGTGTGAAATGCGGGGAGAAGGGAGTGTGTCCACACACACAGCCCCACACACACAGCCCCACACACACAGCCCCACACACACAGCCCCACACACACAGCCCCACACACACAGCCCCACACACACAGCCCCACACACACAGCCCCACACACACAGCCCCACACACACAGCCCCACACACACAGCCCCACACACACAGCCCCACACACACAGCCCCACACACACAGCCCCACACACACAGCCCCACACACACAGCCCCACACACACAGCCCCACACACACAGCCCCACACACACAGCCCCACACACACAGCCCCACACACACAGCCCCACACACACAGCCCCACACACACAGCCCCACACACACAGCCCCACACACACAGCCCCACACACACAGCCCCACACACACAGCCCCACACACACAGCCCCACACACACAGCCCCACACACACAGCCCCACACACACAGCCCCACACACACAGCCCCACACACACAGCCCCACACACACAGCCCCACACACACAGCCCCACACACACAGCCCCACACACACAGCCCCACACACACAGCCCCACACACACAGCCCCACACACACAGCCCCACACACACAGCCCCACACACACAGCCCCACACACACAGCCCCACACACACAGCCCCACACACACAGCCCCACACACACAGCCCCACACACACAGCCCCACACACACAGCCCCACACACACAGCCCCACACACACAGCCCCACACACACAGCCCCACACACACAGCCCCACACACACAGCCCCACACACACAGCCCCACACACACAGCCCCACACACACAGCCCCACACACACAGCCCCACACACACAGCCCCACACACACAGCCCCACACACACAGCCCCACACACACAGCCCCACACACACAGCCCCACACACACAGCCCCACACACACAGCCCCACACACACAGCCCCACACACACAGCCCCACACACACAGCCCCACACACACAGCCCCACACACACAGCCCCACACACACAGCCCCACACACACAGCCCCACACACACAGCCCCACACACACAGCCCCACACACACAGCCCCACACACACAGCCCCACACACACAGCCCCACACACACAGCCCCACACACACAGCCCCACACACACAGCCCCACACACACAGCCCCACACACACAGCCCCACACACACAGCCCCACACACACAGCCCCACACACACAGCCCCACACACACAGCCCCACACACACAGCCCCACACACACAGCCCCACACACACAGCCCCACACACACAGCCCCACACACACAGCCCCACACACACAGCCCCACACACACAGCCCCACACACACAGCCCCACACACACAGCCCCACACACACAGCCCCACACACACAGCCCCACACACACAGCCCCACACACACAGCCCCACACACACAGCCCCACACACACAGCCCCACACACACAGCCCCACACACACAGCCCCACACACACAGCCCCACACACACAGCCCCACACACACAGCCCCACACACACAGCCCCACACACACAGCCCCACACACACAGCCCCACACACACAGCCCCACACACACAGCCCCACACACACAGCCCCACACACACAGCCCCACACACACAGCCCCACACACACAGCCCCACACACACAGCCCCACACACACAGCCCCACACACACAGCCCCACACACACAGCCCCACACACACAGCCCCACACACACAGCCCCACACACACAGCCCCACACACACAGCCCCACACACACAGCCCCACACACACAGCCCCACACACACAGCCCCACACACACAGCCCCACACACACCACTCACACATCATGCCCCACCTTGTGACAAGTCTCCACGTGAAAGTCCTCCTTGCTCGGAGCCTTATGGAAATAGAGGTACCCTCCAAACACCTCGTCGCTGCCTTCCCCAGATAGCACCATCTTCACCCCCAGCGCCTTGATCTTGCGGCTCAGCAGAAACATGGGCGTGCTGGCGCGGATTGTGGTGACGTCGTAGGTTTCCGTGTGGTAAATCACTTCGGAAATCGCGTCTATGCCCTCTTGTACAGTGAAGTGTAGCTCGTGGTGGTTCGTGCCGATGTAATCCGCGACTTCTTTCGCTGCCCGCAGGTCAGGTGCATTCTGAAAATGAAGAAGCGGGAGAATGGAAAGCAATGGGGACAATAAGGGAACATAGCAAGTAAGAGTGCAGCTGCGGGCAAGTGGTACATAGCTGACATTGATTTAAATTGTTGAAACAAATTTCAATGTGTTACAATTACTCAGACGCACCTCGAGGCCGATGCAGTAGGAGTGGAGTTGCGGTCCCCACTGCTTTCCCGCTTCGGTAGACGCCAAATGGCGCTGCGCAACGGCGGCGACGAGCGAGGAGTCGAGGCCCCCCGATAGAAGCACGCCGAACGGCACGTCCGTCATCAGCCGCTTCACGACGGCCTTCTCGAACGCGGCGCGCAGCGCGAGCGGGTCGTACGGCGCGGAGGGGATGTGCTCGTCGTACCACGCGGGGTTGTACCAGCGACGGAGCTTGTCTGGTGGGAAAATATACAATTGGAATCAGTTTGCAGATGCAGAAACTTCTTTAGTCAACATAAAAAGTCGGAAGCAGTAGGTAGGGTGCCGCAGAAACAGAAACAAATCAAGAATCACTGATTGACGCATGACTTAGGGAAATAAGGAAATTAAGAGATGAGTCAGGTTTAGCTTGACGCAGTCGACTCACGGTCTTTGCTAGAAACTAGAACTCATGAGATTAAAACAGGAGAAATCTCAGGGGAAGAAAAAGAGTTTAGCTCGACGCAGTCGACTCACGGTCTTTGCTAGAGTAGATATGGCCCGGCGGGAACGTGTCGAAGCGCTCGCAGTCGTCTTTAAGAGCCTTCATTTCCGATGCGAACCACATGGAGCCGTCGCGGCCCCAGCCGATGTAGAGCGGACACACGCCGATGGGGTCCCGCGCCGCGATGTACGAGCCGTCTTTGGTGTCGAGCAACACGAACGCGAAGATTCCGTCCAGCTTCTGAACGGCTTGCTCTCCCATGTCTTCATACTGGAAATTGGTGGTGAAGAAATAATAGACATCACGGATTGTTAGAAGCTATGTTGAGCAGCACGAACGTCTCGGAAATTCAATCATTGTAAAAGAGTGTACGGAATGAATTATTGAGAGGAGGGGGTCCGAGTGGAGAGGCGTAATGACGGGGATGTCTAAGCATGCAAAATGGTAAACGAGCGGACGAAACAGAAAAAGCCAATCAAAGAAAGTAACAATAAACGAGCAGGAATAGAGGGTCCAACCAAGGCCAAATCAATCGCTCATTGCAACATATTTGACGCGCGAGATGGGCGATGACTTCGCAGTCGCTGCCGGTGTTGAACGTGTGGCGGTCCTTGAGCTCGTACCTCAGCTGCTGGTAGTTGTAGATCTCGCGAGATGCGCGAAATGTGCGATGACTTACGAGATGCGCGATGACTTCGCAGTCGCTGCCGGTGTTGAACTTGTGGCGGTCCTTGAGCTCGTCCCTGAGCTGTTGGTAGTTGTAGATTTCGCCGTTGACGGCCACCACGATGCTGCCGTCTTCGTTGCGTAACGGCTGGTGGCCGGATGCCGGGTCGATGACGGCTAGCCGTTCGTGCGCGAGGAAGTTGTTGCCGAACGTGTGCACACCACTCCAGTCGGGTCCACGGTGGCGCAGCCTGCGGGGGACACGTGGCATCGAGCCATTCACGGGATAAGCGAAAGTGGCGAGGCGTCGCGAATTACTCGCGAAAGTCCTTCAACAAACGTGGTTTTGCGATGCGCGATTGATTCCACTAAGATATCCCGGCGTCTCCTGAATTAAGACTCCGCCGTGTCACTGATAGCAGCCGAGATCGTTGAGCGACAATGACATTGTGAGAACCACGGGGAGGGCCGACGAACAGGATTTCTCGCAATCGAAAGTTGGAGTCATTGATCTGAATTGTGGAGAAATGCACGCTCACCTGGCGGTGCACTCGAGGACCTTTGCTCGGGTGCGAGCCGACGCATCAGCAGCTCCAAGAACCGCGAGAATTCCGCACATCTTGGCGGTTGTTTGGTCCCGGGTGACGGTTGTCGTCAAGTTCGCGAAGAGACGAACACGGCAGGCCGCGACTGAGCGCAGCTCGAGCGTTTGCTGTCGCAGGGGGCGAGAGCAAACGAGAAGAGGGAGCGAGTAAGAACTTCCGTGCGGCGACGGAAGCGAATGCTTTGACAAGCACTCCCAGGAAGGGAGATACTGAAGAGAATACGTGAGAAGGTGAGGTACCACCTGAAGAAAAGCCCGGGTAATTTATAGACCTCATGACCTTGGGATTGTCACGCCTCGACTTTCACATTGCCAGCTTTTAGAAATCCATCAGCGGGGCGAATTGCGAAGGAGGTGCGGGGGTTGGTCAATTGGTTTCTTCATTTTGGTCGATTGGTGCCTATGATTGGTTGCGAGGGCTATTCTATATTTTCGTTTATGTCTGTTAACAAGTTACTGTGATTCGCAGGATCGCCCCTGCCTCGCTAGCTTGGAAATCTCCAGCAGTCGGTTGGGGGTTACTTTTCTTGCGAGGTCAGGAAGAAAGGGCGTCCGTCGCAGAGATTCGCACAAACATTGGACTGGGGGATGTGGTGCGTGCTGGAATTTCGGACCGCATTCATGCTGTTGGCCAGTCCACACAGGCAAATGCAATTTGTGATTCTGTGTGAAATTGAGATCACTCCTCACATCAAATTCCACCTCAGCGTCGCACATCTCCAGGGTGTATGCAGCCGCACTGTAAACTTACGATTGGCTGGCATCGTAATTAGCGGAACAGTTCGGCATTCTTGCGCGCATCAGCGCGCAGTGTTCTGCTGCTGCCTCAGCTACACCCCGGCGCAGATGGCTGAGGTAGCAGGCAAAGAAAGCACATCCGTATGCCAAAAGTTAGCCCTACCGGCGCCGCTCTAGGAATTATCCACAACCACAAGCGAAGTCTCCACAGAACCACGTGGTTGAGCTAATTTCCACGCAGGATTAGCCACGTGATCGGATAACTGCTGCGGCAATTCTCCAGCGAAGTCGGGAGATGTGGTCAAGATCCGCGTCAGAGAAGTGTAACATCTTGCCAGGTAAATTCTCAAAACGTGATCGTTAAAAACGAAGCACAATAGTTACGTCAATCAAATTCAGGGAATGTTTACCAGGCAATATCGGAGCACATTCCAGTAACCAAAAACACACTAACAAGACAGGAACAGAGGTAGAACGTCGTTGCGAATGTTTCTTTGACATAAGCCGTAACTAGGCTCATCCATCTAGTGGATATATTAAAGCTCAAGGCCCAAATTGCGCAAGGTTAGTAATCTTGCGCAAGGGTTTGGGCTGGTCAAGAAAGTGTTGGGAGGGTGGGGTTGACTTATTTCGCACGAGCTCTCGCAACAATCGCTGAGTCAGCAAACACCAAGGCAAACGTTCTGTTTCGGTCCGAGAGTCCCAAATTGTGTAATACTGAAAGTTGAAGTTTCTGCAGGGAGATTGGCCTCGACCAATCAGATTCATTCGCACCTACCGTAACCCAACATTCGCGAAACCAAAGCACCAAAACAGCAGCTGTGCAAGATTAGTAATCTTGCTCAGCGCGGCCCGCAATTTGGGCCTTGAGCTTTAAGAGCTAGACTTATCGCTTAACCTTGCATTCTCACTCACAATGACCTCTACCTGTGAGATAACTTGAGTCAACGACTGATTCAGCACTGCAGGCTCCTCTTCGAACATCATCGTGCCATACTTGAACAGCTCCTCCTTAATCCCTTCAAGATCTGCAACTATCTTCACCATCCGGGGCCGGGACATAGCTGGGGTTGCTGTGCATTTCATGGCGAGGCGTGCAAGCCGTAGAATGACATCATCAGGAGCGTCCAGGTGAGGGTCCTTGAATGCAGCTACGTCCCCACGTTCCACTAAGGGGGCAGCCTATATGGAAGCATGAGAAGGGAAAGACCAGACCAAAAAAAGTGTATTGATAGAGGTAAGGAAGGAAGTTGCAGAAAAAGGAGGTCTGAAAAGGTGATACCGCAACTGGGTGATCAATAGATAATGGAATGTAATGCAACATTAAATAAAATGTAAATTACTGGTTGACCCATTACCCATTTGCTGATGTTGATTGGATCGTCATCCTTAGACACCGACACAATGGCCCTTCGTCCCGTCAGAAGCTCTAGCATCACGATGCCGAAGCTGGAGAGAGGAAGAATGGAAAACGGTGGGAGAACGAAAGCAAGGGGAGAGGATGGTGGGAGGTAGAGAGGCTGATAAAGAGGAAGCCACGAACCGTGGTGCGCCCAGCAAAAAACACTTATAGCTTGGGTCATCAATGTCTGAGAACTCGAAAGCACCTGAACTGGTTCCATCTGAACATAACTCACCTGAATACGTCGCTGGCAGGGGTGGCCTTGCGGGTGCGCCCATACACAGGGTCCACATACGCTGGCGTGCCCAGCAGACTAGGCTTGATCCTCAAACAAGAATTGATGCACAAGAAAACTTGGATTCGACCCATCACACATCACTTTTGAGTCGACTCAAAAGTCACCTCGAATTGATGCACAAGAAAACTTGGATTCGACCCATCACACGTCACTTTTGAGTCGACTCAAAAGTCACCTCGAATTGATGCACAAGAAAACTTGGATTCGACCCATCACACATCACTTTTGAGTCGACTCAAAAGTCACCTCGAATTGATGCACAAGAAAACTTGGATTCGACCCATCACACATCACTTCTGAGTCGACTCAAAAGTCACCTTGAATTGATGCACAAGAAAACTTGGATTCGACCCATCACACATCACTTTTGAGTCGACTCAAAAGTCACCTCGAATTGATGCACAAGAAAACTTGGATTCGACCCATCACACATCACTTTTGAGTCGACTCAAAAGTCACCTCGAATTGATGCACAAGAAAACTTGGATTCGACCCATCACACATCACTCCCACCCACCTGAACACGTCGTTTGCAGGGGTGGCCTTGCGGGTGCGACCGTAGACAGGGTCCACATAGCCCGGCGTGCCGAGCACTCTAGTGGAGTCCTGAGGGTTGTACGCGTTGCCCTCTCCCATCTTGGTCAGCCCGAAATCAGCTATCTTGGCCTGTGGGGAAAAGGGACGGAGGACGCAGGCAGGAGGAAGCGGGTCACTTAAGAGTCAGAAGGTACTCCAACTGTTGGGGCAGTTCCAAAAGTTTTGCGGCGCCTCAGAAGGCATATTTAACTCTTGCTGCCCGACCAGGTAAGCACCTGCCAAGTTGCCATCCAGGAAGTATTTGCTGTGTCACATCTTGATGCCCCATGGAGAAGTTGCGAAGGTACTGCAAACTCCTGGCTGCTGAGTGCGTTGCTGAGTGTTATGAGTGTCGATACATGCACATAACACACACCCACGTGCACCTGCCAGTTGCCATCTAGCAGGATATTTGCTGGTTTCACATCCCGATGCACCACTGACAAACTGTGCAGGTACTTGTTGTGGTGCTGGGTACAATACTGGGTGCTATGAGCATGGCACAAGCACTTGCACCACACACACACACACACACACACACACACGCACACACACACACACACACACACACACACGCACACACGCACACACACTGTACCTGCCAATTGCCATCGAGAAGAAAGTTTGTTGGTTTCACGTCCCAATGCACCGTCAAGAAGCCGTGCAGGTACTGCAGGCCCGTCGCTGCTGGGTGCTGCTAGGTGTTACAAATGACGTACACACACATACACACGTACACAGAAGTACACACCTGCCAGTTTCCGCCCAGGCCCCTCGCTGCAGGTGTGCTGGCTGTGCTGGGTGTGCTAAGTGTGCTGGGTGTGCTGGGTGTTATGAGCGTCACACACACACTTGAACGCACTCACACACCTGCCAGTTGCCATCCAGGAGGATATTGGCTGGCTTCACGTCCCGATGAACCATTGAGAAGCTGTGCAGGTACTCCAGGCCCCTCGCTGCTCCTATCATCATCTCCAGCCGCTGCTGCAGACTGACAGGCTGTGAGGCAAGGTCTATAAGTAGATTAGGGAGGGAAGGTGGCAGAGCAGGGAAGAGGAAGGGGAATCAGAGACACCAGTACCAAGCTGTGAAGGTACTCCAGGCCCCTCGCTGCTCCTATCATCATCTCCAGCCGCTGCTGCAGACTCACGGGCCTGGAGGCGAGATCTGGTTGATAGAATTTGGGAGTGAAGTTGGCAGAGCGGGGAAGAGGAAGTGAAATCAACTTGCAGGCTGTGAGGCGAGGTCTGGGGATGGGAGGGCAGGGTGGGGCGACAGGCTGTGAGGCGAGGTCTGACCTGTGAGTTGGAAAGAGAGATGGGGGAGGGGAGGGGGGTGGGCGTGGGGGAAGAGGAAGAGGAGACATCCAATGCAGGTCAGACTCACAGCACCTCCCCCAATGCACATGGACATGCCCTCTTGGGGGGTGGGGGAAGAGGAAGAGGAGACAGAGGTGCCAATGGTAGAGCTGCTACATGCACGAAAATAATTGTTTTGTCAATGCGGTCATGTAATCACAAATAGTTACCCATTTCTCAGCACGGTCCGTTCTCCATGAGCTCACAGAGATTGATCTGCTTTTGAGAATTCTCAAAAGTGATTTCCACTCAGCACGTGTCCATTCTCCATGAGCTCACAGAGATTGATGCTGCTGCTGCTGCTCGTGCTCTCTCATGTAAGCACATGCTCTCTCAAGTATGCGTGCATTCAAGTACTCTTACTCACTCTTCAACACGCGCTCCAAATCCCCGTTCTCCATGAACTCATATATGATAATCTGCTCCTGCTCGTGCGCTTGGCGTCCGTTATAACGCAGTACCCAAGACACAGTAACCCAGCAGAAAAACCAAGTATCCATATATACTCACTTTTCAACACGCGCTCCAAATCCCCGTTCTCCATGAACTCGTATATGATGATCTGCTCCTGCTCGTGCGTCTTGGCGTCCGTTGTGATACAGTACCCCAGCAGGCGAACCAGGTGCGGGTGATGCTTGCTCGCCATCAGCTCTACCTGTATAAGAAGGAGAGGGAGGGAAGGAAGGGGGGTGGTTTTGAGGTGAAGGTGGTGAGGAGTGAGTCTTGGCGTCTGTTGCAACGCAGTAACCCAGCAGGCGCACCAGTTGCGGGTGATGCTTGCTCGCCAGCAGCTCTACCTCTTGAATGGGAGAGAGCCGGGGAAGAAGAGGGGGGGGGGAGGGTAAGAATGCAAGGATTGCGGGGAGAGAGGAACACTGGAATCCCTTTCCACCTACCCACTGCAATCCCTTTCTACCTACCCACTGCAAACCCCACCCTCCCCCTTATCCGTTCCTCTCCCTACTCAGCTCCGGCGCTCCGCTTTCTGGCTCACCTCCTTGTGAAATTCGTTCGTGCGTATCTTGGCTCGCTTCACCGCCCACACCTGCGGTCTCCAACCTCATATTCCAAGGCATCAAATTCAGGTTTAGAGCTTCAAACTTCACCTCCTTGTGAAATTCGTTGGTTCGTATCTTGGCTCGCTTCACCGCCCACACCTGCGGCTCCCCAGCCTCCACTGTAATCCCCACCTCCCCCTCTCCACTCCCCCCCCTCTTACTCCCCCAACTGCTTCCCCTCCCACTTCCCCTCCCACTCGCTCCCACACTCCCTCTCACACTCTCCTTCACACTCCCTCGTGCGCCCTCTCCTGCCACGCCTGCTCCTCCGCCTTCCCCCACCATCCCGCCTCCTCCGCTGCCCACTCTCGCAGAGGGTGGCACCCCCTTATACACGTCCCCATAGCCCCCGCTGCCCAGGTGGTTGTAGCTCGCCCAGCTGTCCGTCGCCTGTAGCACCTCTGCCAGGCTGTAGCGCCGGAACAGGCCTGGGACTGGTGGGGGGACGTGGTAGGGAAACGGAGAGGCATGGTTTGACTCATAAGCGGTTGACAGGGGGGACGAACCCCCTTGTACACGTCCCCGTAGCCCCCGCTGCCCAGGTGGTTGTAGCTCGCCCAGCTGTCTGTCGCCTGTAGCACCTCTGCCAGGCTGTAGCGCCGGAACATGCCTGGGACTGGAGTATTTGATCATTGGGAGGAGAGGGGGATCGTAGGCTGGGTTGTGCCCTGTATCGGATCTGCCTTTAACGAGGATGACGATCAGGGGGGGACAAGCGATAACACGCACCCCTGCTCCATTGGCAAAGCCCACAACACTCTGAGCGAGAGACAAGAGGAGGAGAGGAGAAGAGGAGGAGAGGCTGAAGAGGTCTGGGAGACTCACCAGCTGAGTTGGGCCCTGTGGCGGGTCTGCCTCTAACGAGGATGCAAATCAGGGCGAGACATGCAATGACAAGCGCCCCTGCTCCAATCGCTACACCCACGATCACTCCGAGCGAGAGAGAAGAGGAGGAGGAAGGAGAAGCGGGTGGAGAGGCAGAAGGGGGGGCTTCAGTGGGTGGGGAAGGAGAGGGGGAGGTTGCAGGGGAGGGGGATGGAGAGGAGGGAGGCGAAGGAGAGGAGGGAGGGGAAGGAGAGGTGGGGAGAGGGGAGGGGGAGGAGGGTGGGGAAGGGGTGATGGACTTGGGGACACAGGTGGCGCTGCCGTCAGGGAGAATGCCTGGAGAGGTGGTTGCTGGGCAGGTACAGATGTAACCAGTAGGGTTACTACTGCCGCTGCTGGCCTTGATGCTGCTGTGGCTGGACTTGATACCACTGCTGCTGGTTGCAGTGATACCGTTGCTGCTGCTTCTGACACTTCGGCTGCTGCTGGTGCCGCTGCTGGTGCCGCTGCTGCCATTGCTGGCATTCGAAACACAAGTGCCCAGGCCACAGGGGTTGACAGGGAAGGTGCTGCAGACGTCAGCTGGAGGGAGAGAGATAGGAGAGGTGGCAGGGAGGACACAGAGGAAAGAAATAAATCTTATGGGTTAATCTTATGGTTCGCTGCTACTGTAAACGGTGCTCTAGGGAACAACAGGAATTATGAGTGCCAAAGCTCACAAGCCTGCATTCCCATGTGCAGCAGCAGCATCACTTACAAGAAGCCTTGACAAACATGTGACTGACCTGTGTAGAGCCTGCAGAAGCCGGAGCAGAGTTGGCATAAAGCTGAGTGGAGGGGTCTGCTGCGTTCCACAATGACTTTTGAGAATTCTCAAAAGTGATTTCCATATAGCTGCGTTCCACAATGCACAGCTACATGGCTGGTTGACTGACTGACCCGTGCTCTAGGTGCGTTTGAAAAATCCTCAACACATGGGATGGATGTGACTAGGGGTGAGCAAAGAAACGAACACCTGTTCGGTTCGCCTCGAACGTGTTCGATGTTCGGCCGAACACGTTCGTGTTCGTGGCGCTGCTGCAGAAAGCCCCGTGTCGAACACGAACGTGTTCGAGGTTCGCCCGAACACGCCTTCACAGGCGAACGGCGAACACCCTTTTTTGGGGAAGTCTTCCGGCAAACCGAACAGTGTTTGGTTTTGGGGAAGTCGTTCGCCGAGCGGCCATGTTCGTGCAAGGGCGAATGCAAACATGTTCGCGTTCGCCCTTTGCTCACCCCTAGATGGGACTTACCCACATAGGAGCTGCACACACTACAGAAGCTGGGGCAGAGCTGGTAGAAGGCTGATTGCGAGGTGGGTGGGTCTGCTCCGGACCAGTCTTTCATGCCTAATGATAGACTTATTATTTTGAAACTGTTTTTGAGGCGCCTCAAAGATCGTGTTTCATGCCTTTTGAGGCGCCTAAAAAAATCGTTTTTCATGCCTAATGATAGACTTATTATTTCGAAACTGTGTGAACACCGCCAACTTACCAAACATAGCAGCTGCACACTCTGCAGAAGCTGGGGCAGAGCTGGCAGAAGGCCGAGTGGAGGTCTGTTCCACCCCGCAACGCAGAGCTGCATGGCTGCTTGACTGAGTGACCCGTGCAGTGCACTAGGTGTACTTGAAAAAACCCTCAACACACTTATATACCTACGTAGGAGCTGCACAACCTGCAGAAGCCGGAGCAGAGCTGGCAGAAGGCTGAGTGGGTGGGGGGTCTGCTCCCCCCGCATGGCTGGTTGACTGACTGACTGACTCGTCAACATGACTTATTCATGTGGCTGTCGCACAATTCGCTTACCCACGTAGGCGCTGCACACTCTGCAGAAGCCGGAGCAGAGCTGGCAGAAGGCTGAGTGGGGGGTCTGCTCCACCCCGCACGGCTGGTTGGCGGGGCACTCAAGCCACGTGCCATAAAGAGACCTGCAGTGGATGAAGAGAATGGGAGAAAAAGGAGTTACAAGTCAGACACACAGAGAGGAGCCGGGGACACAGAGAAAGTGAGGGGTATGCTCCACCCCGCACGGCTGGTTGGCAGGGCACTCAAGCCATGTGCCGTAGAGGGACCTGCGAGATGGATGGGTTGAATGGGAGAAGAGTGGAATTGGAGGCATGGAGGGAAGCCGGGTACACATGGGAATCAAGGGGTCTGCTCTAGTCCGCACGGCTGGTTGGCAGGGCACTCAAGCCATGTGCCGTAGAGGGACCTGCGAGATGGATGGGTTGAACGGGAGAAGAGTGGAATTGGAGGCATTGAGGGAAGCCGGGTACACATGGGAATCAAGGGGTCTGCTCCAGTCCGCATGGCTGGTTGGCAGGGCACTCAAGCCATGTGCCGTAGAGGGACCTGCGAGATGGATGGGTTGAATGGGAGAAGAGTGGAATTGGAGGCATGGAGGGAAGCCGGGTACACATGGGAATCAAGGGGTCTGCTCTAGTCCGCACGGCTGGTTGGCAGGGCACTCAAGCCATGTGCCGTAGAGGGACCTGCGAGATGGATGGGTTGAATGGGAGAAGAGTGGAATTGGAGGCATGGAGGGAAGCCGGGTACACATGGGAATCAAGGGGTCTGCTCTAGTCCGCACGGCTGGTTGGCAGGGCACTCAAGCCATGTGCCGTAGAGGGACCTGCGAGATGGATGGGTTGAATGGGAGAAGAGTGGAATTGGAGGCATGGAGGGAAGCCGGGTACACATGGGAATCAAGGGGTCTGCTCCAGTCCGCACGGCTGGTTGGCAGGGCACTCAAGCCACGTGCCGTAGAGGGACCTGCGAGATGGATGGGTTGAACGGGAGAAGAGTGGAATTGGAGGCATGGAGGGAAGCCGGGTACACATGGGAATCAAGGGGTCTGTTCCAGTCCGCACGGCTGGTTGGCAGGGCACTCAAGCCATGTGCCGTAGAGGGACCTGCGAGATGGATGGGTTGAATGGGAGAAGAGTGGAATTGGAGGCATTGAGGGAAGCCGGGTACACATGGGAATCAAGGGGTCTGCTCCAGTCCGCATGGCTGGTTGGCAGGGCACTCAAGCCATGTGCCGTAGAGGGACCTGCGAGATGGATGGGTTGAATGGGAGAAGAGTGGAATTGGAGGCATGGAGGGAAGCCGGGTACACATGGGAATCAAGGGGTCTGCTCCAGTCCGCATGGCTGGTTGGCAGGGCACTCAAGCCATGTGCCGTAGAGGGACCTGCGAGATGGATGGGTTGAATGGGAGAAGAGTGGAATTGGAGGCATGGAGGGAAGCCGGGTACACATGGGAATCAAGGGGTCTGCTCTAGTCCGCACGGCTGGTTGGCAGGGCACTCAAGCCATGTGCCGTAGAGGGACCTGCGAGATGGATGGGTTGAATGGGAGAAGAGTGGAATTGGAGGCATGGAGGGAAGCCGGGTACACATGGGAATCAAGGGGTCTGCTCTAGTCCGCACGGCTGGTTGGCAGGGCACTCAAGCCATGTGCCGTAGAGGGACCTGCGAGATGGATGGGTTGAATGGGAGAAGAGTGGAATTGGAGGCATGGAGGGAAGCCGGGTACACATGGGAATCAAGGGGTCTGCTCCAGTCCGCACGGCTGGTTGGCAGGGCACTCAAGCCACGTGCCGTAGAGGGACCTGCGAGATGGATGGGTTGAACGGGAGAAGAGTGGAATTGGAGGCATGGAGGGAAGCCGGGTACACATGGGAATCAAGGGGTCTGTTCCAGTCCGCACGGCTGGTTGGCAGGGCACTCAAGCCATGTGCCGTAGAGGGACCTGCGAGATGGATGGGTTGAATGGGAGAAGAGTGGAATTGGAGGCATTGAGGGAAGCCGGGTACACATGGGAATCAAGGGGTCTGCTCCAGTCCGCATGGCTGGTTGGCAGGGCACTCAAGCCATGTGCCGTAGAGGGACCTGCGAGATGGATGGGTTGAATGGGAGAAGAGTGGAATTGGAGGCATGGAGGGAAGCCGGGTACACATGGGAATCAAGGGGTCTGCTCCAGTCCGCATGGCTGGTTGGCAGGGCACTCAAGCCATGTGCCGTAGAGGGACCTGCGAGATGGATGGGTTGAATGGGAGAAGAGTGGAATTGGAGGCATGGAGGGAAGCCGGGTACACATGGGAATCAAGGGGTCTGCTCTAGTCCGCACGGCTGGTTGGCAGGGCACTCAAGCCATGTGCCTTAGAGGGACCTGCGAGATGGATGGGTTGAATGGGAGAAGAGTGGAATTGGAGGCATGGAGGGAAGCCGGGTACACATGGGAATCAAGGGGTCTGCTCCAGTCCGCACGGCTGGTTGGCAGGGCACTCAAGCCATGTGCCGTGAATGGACCTGCAAAGGGCAGGGAGTATGAGAGACAGGGGAGTTGGAACTCGTATGCATGGTAGGAAGCTGGGTACAGAGAGAGAGCTATCAACGAAAGGGCCATTAGAGTAATCAAGGGGTCTGCTCTAGTCCGCACGGCTGGATGGAAGGGCAATCAAGCCACGTGCCATTGAGAGACCTGCAGTGGATGGGGAGAGAGAAGAGGGGAGGTTGAATTTATGGGGAGGGGAGGTCATTATCAAATAACTAAGAACTAAATTAGACTCACAAAAAGTCTTGAGAAAGGCTATTTATTCTACTTCATAACCAGTTTTTGATAAATTTCTTTTTTAAACGACACAACGGCAGGATGAACGGCTCACACCTGCTCTTATAAGGGGACTCTCACTCAGCTCGTGCAAGGGAACTCACATATTTGCAAGGCTGCTCAATGCGC